TATCCATCTAAGGGGTCAATTATAGTACATGTGTTCAATACTAGGTATTCACCTAGGGGGTCAATTATAGTACATGTGTTCAATACTAGGTATCCATCTAGGGGGTCAATTATAGTACATGTGATCAATACTAGGTATCCATCTAGGGGGTCAATTATAGTACATGTGATCAATAAGAGGTATCCATCAAAGGGGTCAATTATAGTACATGTGTTCAATACTAGGTATCCATCTAGGGGGTCAATTATAGTGCATGTGTTCAATACTAGGTATTCACCTAGGGGGTCAATTATAGTACATGTGTTCAATACTAGGTATCCATCTAGGGGGTCAATTATAGTACATGTGATCAATACTAGGTATCCATCTAAGAGGTCAATTATAGTACAGGTGATCAATACTAGGTATCCATCTAAAGGGTCAATCATAGTACATGTGTTCAATACTAGGTATCCATCTAGGGGGTCAATTATAGTACATGTGATCAATAATAGGTATCCATCTAGGGGGTCAATTATAGTACATGTGATCAATAATAGGTATCCATATAAGGGGTCAATTATAAGTACATTTGATCAATACTAGGTATCCATCTAAGGGGTCAATTATAGTACATGTGTTCAATACTAGGTATTCATCTAGGGGGTCAATTATAGTGCATGTGTTCAATACTAGGTATTCACCTAGGGGGTCAATTATAGTACATGTGTTCAATACTAGGTATCCATCTAGGGGGTCATTTATAGTACATGTGTTCAATACCAGGTATCCATCTAGGGGGTCAATTATAGTACATGTGATCAATACTAGGTATCCATCTAGGGGGTCAATTATAGTACATGTGTTCAATACTAGGTGTCCATCTAGGGGGTCAATTATAGTACATGTGTTCAATACTAGGTATCCATCTAGGGGGTCAATTGTAGTACATGTGATCAATATACTAGATATCCATCTAGGGGGTTAATTATAATTGAGAAAGAACAGTCATGCACATACATGTATCAATTGAAGATGCACAAAATTGAGGCTGATTTGGTGTTAACTGCGGCAACCTTACCCATGTAATTGTGTGTTTGTCCTGAATTTCATAATCCAATAATTATACATGTATATATATTCTTATTAACCATATTTGTGTGCTTTTGTTAGAGTCAATGCTAACTGCTAAAATAGTGATGATGTTGATGTAGGCAATCTTGTAGTTGATATTGATTTAAATGCTCACTATCCTATCTGCATTTGTGTGTGTTTTGTTATACATATAGCAGGATTTTTGCTATATTGTATGTGTCTTTTTGTCCATACATGTATATTTAGTCCCCGTTCGGACGCAGTCCGAAAGCGGGGACTTATGTTTTGACCTCCGTGTGTCCGTGCGTGTGTGCGTGCGTCCGGACCTGTATCTTAGAAATGCCTGGACCAATCACAATCAAACTTCACACATACATATCATACATGATATCATACATATGCACGTCAATTTGTTTCATGATCTGATTCAAGATGGCCGAATGGCAGCCATTTTTGTGCTAAAAATCATCAAAATTGAGCATTTCCCGGTTGTTTACAGATGGATTTTGTTCAAACCTTGTATAATACATTGGACATTATAGGACCTTGATGCACATCATTTTGTT